TCAGAGCTTCTGAAATAACCATCAACAATAAATCTATAAAGAAAATAATCCATAAAAGAACTGCAAATTACTTTATATCCCATATTCACTAACTGAGTTCATGATCTTCCTTTTTATCTACCATATATTTTTCATAAAAAAAAAATACAATTATTCACATCTTCAGGTCTTGATCTATTTCAATCTTCAGCAAATTTGATTAATCAAGATTCTCACCCTCAATAAATAACTAATAAGTATGAACCTATTATAGTAGTCTGCCCTTATCCGCGGTTTCACTTTCCACAGTTTCATTTACTCACATTCAACCATGGTCTGAAAATATTAAATGGAAAATTCCAGTAATAAACACTTCATAAATTTCAAATTTCGGGTTGTTCTGAGTAGCACTATGAAACCTCACACTATCCCAACTCCATCCTGTCATGGAAGTTAATTAACCCTTTGTATCCATGCTGTGTGTACTCCCTGCCTGTCAGTCACTTAGTAACCTTCTTGGTTATCAGATCAGTTATGGGAGTGGGGGTGGGAGGGAGAAATCATATTCACATAACTTTTATTACAGTATATTGTTATAACTGTTCTATTATTAGTTATTGTTGTTAATCTTTTACTGTACCTAATTTATAAATTAAACTTTATCATAGGTATGTATGTATAGGAAAAAACAGTATATACAGAGTTTGGTGCTATCCGTGGTTTCAGGCATCCACTGGGTGTCTCAGAACATGTCCCCTTTGGATATGGAGGAACTACAATAGTCATACAGTCATGAAATTTAACCTCACATTTCTCCATGTTTTTAACAAGTCCTTGATGGTTACAGTAAGATAGCTTTAACTCAATTAAAGTCTTTAAGAAAATGAAGCAATTAGGGAAAAACAAATCTTTGTTATTCAAAGATAGTTGATATTTAAATTTCCCCTCAGGTTCCAGGAACCCTAACCACCTTTAGGACCTAGAAATAATTTCTTTATCTAAGGTTCCTCTGTCTATAACAAGAAGAAAAGGAGGGACTTGGAAAGAAGTACAGTAGTCTCTTTTTATCCACAGGGAATACACTATTGCAAATGCCTAAAGTGACAAAGAACTGGCTATTAACATATCTAAATGCTTATCAGCTCCTTAAAGAATAAACTTCAGGCAATACCTCTGGAGCTTTGAGTAGATGATTTTTTTTAATGTGCAAAGTACAGGGGACGAAAATTACTATGTAAATAAAATATTTTTCCTCATTTATTTATTAAAAAAATATTTACTGAGTGCCTACTATATGCCTGACATTGTTCTAAACACAGGATGCACTGCAGTAAAGAAAAACTGGACAAAAATTCTTATTTTATTTTCTCAAAATGTGAAAAGGTAAAATGCATTAAAAAATAACAATAATAATTACCAACAACTTAATACACTGAAAAATTTCATTATCTAAAGTTACTAATTGCTATCCAGGAACTAACTGGACTAAATTTTGTATTTCTATTAGTATGAGAAAGAGTAACTTGAAAAAAATAATTATGGCAATTATGGCCATCGTATAAATAGGAAATACTTAGTTTTCTTCAAAAAATTTGTGGCATTATTATATCATCTGATTAATATTGATTTAGACAGAAAATATTAACATTAAATTAACAGTATATGTAGATATATTTGTCTAGGCATAGGGAAGAATTTTAAAAGACACGTTAAAAAATTGTTTCCTACAATGGAATATTACTCGGTCATAAAAATGAAATCGTACCATTTGCAACAACATGGATGAACCTAGAGGGTATTATGCTAAGTTAAATGAGACAGAGAAAGACAAATACCATATAATCTCACTTATATGTGGCATCTAAGAATAAAAATAAATGAAAAAAAAAAAAAAAAACAGAAACAGACTCACAGATACAGAGAACAAACTGATGGTTGCCAGATGGGAAGGGGTGGGAGGCGAGGGGCTGGGTGAAAAAGGGGAAGGGATTAAATACAAACTGGTAGTTACAAATAGTCACAGGGATGTAAAGTATAGCATATGAAATATAGTCACTAATATTGTAATAACTATTTATAGTGCCAGGTGAGCACTAATTGGGGGAATCACTTTGTAAATTATATAAATGACTAATCACTATGCTGTATACCTGAAACTAATATAAAATAATACTGAATGTCAACTATAATTGAAAAATGAAAATAATTGTTTCCTGCAGCTACCTCTGTAGGATGAGGTGGAGTGTAAGGAGCCAGAGGAAGGGATGTGTTTTCCTTTTTTATACTATGTAATTATTTAAAATGGAGTCTGAGTGATCTTTATGCTTCTGTGTTTACTGGTACTTGTCAAATAAAAAAGAGAGAGAAAAGCTGATGTGGATGGAATAGTAAAATAAAATAATAAGACAGACTTATATAAAATCCCAGAATTTTCCAATTGTGGATAATAAAACAATTATGGCCTAAAAATCAAATGGTATTGTAAGAAAATGGCTGTAAAATTAATTGAGCTTAATGACTCACGAAAGGTAGAGATAAGCAGAGAAAAATCTAGGGAGGGACATTGTCAAGTTTAGGTAGTCTACTAGTAGCACATAAGTAGGCAGAAAATTAATCCGTTTTAGTTTCAAATATAAAAACTATTCCTGATCTAACGGCCCAGATAAATATGTCAACATGCTTGGGTTTCTTCTCCCTAAGCGTTGGCAAAGTAGTAACTGCTTTGAGGTTTGGATAAATTAAAATTGAGGTTTAACATCACTTATGATCCTAATTGGGGAGGTTTAGTTCAATTTGGGAAAGGTATTGGAAATCTTTGAGGGGATGGAACAAAGATGATGATGATGACAATGATAAAAATGACTGATATTTCGAAATTTTAATTTTTTTAATCTTAGATAAAATTCAAGCTCTCAGCCATACTTAATGAACATGACCACTGTGAGAACTTGATACTTTTCCAAAAGTGATTATTTTATTATTATTCTATACTTGTCTACAGCATATTTTAAGAATCATTTGGTAAACCTGTCATTTCCTGACAAGTACACAGTAGAAGTGATGAGAAATTAGATAAAGCAATACAGTAGCATTCAATAAACATCTCCTCTAATGTAAAAAAAAAAAGAGAGAAAATAAATGTTATGACTATTATTATTATTATTATTACCATTATTAGTTTGTTATAGAGGAATCTGATAAGACCTCTGCATGTTACCTGAAATGTTTATCCGGGTGTCCAGGCCTAATACTTGCAGCTCGGTCATTGGGAAAAGCTATCAGCGCATCCTTCACTGCCTCTTTATTTGAGCACTGATTGTGAATGGTTGTCATGGCTGACTGAAGCATTGCAACAGGTGCGTATTCCTCATATTTTGCCAAATCTTTGACCACAAACTGTCCCGTAGGATTACAGACGAAAGGGGATATACCTTTTATAGAATTGGATATTAAGTTTAAATGTTTTTTTGAATTTTAGTTTTCCAAATGACATCCATAAGTTACTTAATACACTAGACCATTGGTTCTAAATTAAAGCTAAATCCGTAGACGAATACATTCAGAAAATACAAATAATTCATTTAATAAATGGACCTTCACAAAACAATTTAATGCAAAATAATACATGTATAAAAAATAAACATAATAACTTGAAGGGTTGGGTTGGCCTATATAAAACAAATGTTTATAGGTTAAAGAGAGTTGAATATCAGCAATTTCATATGGTTCAATGTATAAAAAGATAATCGAGAGTTAGAAGAAATAGCAACAACAAGAAAATCCATGAAATGATTAAAACCTATTTCTATTATGGACTCGAACAAAAAAGTAGAAAGATAAAATAGAAAAACCATTAAAATATTAAATAAATTTTATAGATCACTGAACCAGTGTATTCAAATGGCGGTATCAGTATCTACTGGGAACATGTTGAAATACAAATCTTTGGGCTCCTACAAAGACCTACTTAATAATCAGTGCTAGGATGTAGACCAGTGATATCTATTTTAACAGAATTTCTAGGTGATTTTGAGGCATTCGAATGATAAGAATCACTAGATTAGACCACATTTGATATATATAGCTAAGTAATTAACATATTAAGATAATCCTACATTATCTTTAAAAAATAAAAAAGGCAAGCATCCACGATAGCTTACCAGGATTAATTTTCATCGTAACTTTCTTGGCAGAAGGTTTGCAGACACTGTTGAAAACTAAATGTATTTGATGAAAAGGTTTCAGCGATAAAGACCGAAAATTTTCATCTGCCACTGGGCCAATAATCTCTATGAATTGCTTCACTTTAAAGACTCCAACTTGATGTGGAATGAATGAACACACCACATTCTAAAAAAAGAAGAAAAGTAACCAGTTGTTACAGGCTAAATGTGAACCCCCAAAATGCATCTGTTTAAACCTAAGCACAGCATGATGGAATTGGGAGATGGGGCCTTTGGGATGTGATTAGGTCATGAGAACAAAGCCCTCCTGAATGGAATTAGTGCTCTTATAAAAGAGTCTCCGCAGAGCTCCCTAGCCCTCTCCACCATGTGAGAATACATGGTCTGCAACCAGGAATTGGGCCCTTGCCTGGCCATGGTGGCACTCTGATCTGGGACTTTCAGCGTCCAGAACCGTGAGGAATAAATTTCTGTTGTTTATAAACTATGCAGTCTATGATATTCTATTACAGTAGTCCAAATGGATTTAGAAAACAATATTGTACTATTAGAAAAACATAAAAGGCAAATCCACAAAAATATTTATAAAATTTTAAGGAGAGCTAGTTCATCATGGTGATAAAAGTGCTTTAGAAATATCATATACAGTATTGACCAAACTTTATGATACATATTATTGGACAATTATTTTAAAAAATTAATAACAATGGTACTAGAGCACTTCTGAATGGCAGATGAAGGACCTCTAGAAATCTATGCCTCTACAAACAGAAAAAGACCACTGGAATAAATGTCAAAATCAACTTTTTAGATATTTAAAAATTACCAAAAAGTTTGCAAAAATACAAAGAGTATTTATTTAAGAAGAATAAATGGCTAAATACTGAAATAATAAAAGGCTCTGCAGCATTTTTACTTGCTGTAATTCCATCCTCCTATTCTCAGTTTTGTGCTCTTCTTTAAAAAACAGCCGTGCAACTATGGTAGTTGTGAAAACTATCAGCCCAGCAGCCAGAGAGAGAGAAGAATGGAGCTCTCCAAAAATCCCATCCCCAGAGAACTGTTCCTATTTGTCCTGTCTGGAAGCTAGCTGATAAGTCTATTTGAGGGCATGTCTTTAATTGACCTGATTCAGAGCTCATTCTCTGTGGACAACTCTCTCCCCAAAGCGTTATCGCCTCCCCGCCCTCAAAAAAAAAAAAAAAAAAAGCAGCAATTGAACATCACAGCAATCTGAGGTAGCATTACTATTTAAGGCTAATAATAACCTAAACAAAACCAAACCAAAAAAAAGCACAAAATAATCAGAGGGTATTTGAAAAGATATGACATATTCCTGGAAATTTAGATTGCCACAGACATGTGCAGAGCAGTGTATCTGCCCAGGAAAAATCTGAGAAAGCTCTAATTTCTCACCTCTAACTGACTTTGAAACTCTGTATAAGGAGGAATTGAAGGCCAGACGAGTGGTAAACTACCTGACAAAACAATGAAAACATGCCCCGCTCAACACACACATTAGCTCTTGGCAAAGGCTATGAGACTTATTGATATAAAAAAAAAAACAAGAGAATCTCTGACCCATCATTAGCTGACCTCTAAATTAACTGAACAGATACTTGATTGGCTGCACACAACAAAGATAACAACTTTTACAGAATTAGTCAAGACAGTCACTAAACAAAACAATAACAACAAAAAGCAAGGACAATAAATCCTGGGAGCAGTATTATTTCCAGAGTTGCCAAATTATATCACTTAAAATGCTTAGTTTTCAACAAAAATTATGGGGCACTCAGAGAAATAGGAAAGTATGGCAAATACACAGGAAAGACGCATTAAATAAAAACTGCCTGAGGAAACCCAAATGTTGGACTTATTGGCAAAGATGATAAATCGACTATTATAAATATGTTCAAAGGATTAAAGGAAAACATGTCTAAAGAACTAAAGAAAGACAACAAAAGCAATGACAACAAAAATAAAAATAAACAAGTAGGATAACATCAAACTAAAAAGCTTCTGTAGAACAAAGAACAACAAAATGAAACAATAAAATGAAGAGGCAACCTAGGGAATGGGAGAAAATAATGGCAAATTATATATCTAATAAGAGGATAATATCAAAAATATATAAAGAACTTAAAATAACAATAGCAAAACAAACAAGTAATCCAATTAACAAATGGGCAAATGAGCTAAGTAGACATTTTTCCAAAGAACCCATAGATGGCCAAAAGGTATATGAAAAGGTGTTCAGTATCACTAATTATCTGGGAAATGCAAATCAAAACCACAATGAGATATCACCTCACCCCTGTTAGAATGGCTGTCATCAATAAATAAACAAACGAGTGTTGGCAAGGATGTAGAGAAAAGGGAAGCCTTGTGCATTGTTGGTGGGAATGCAAATTGTCATAACCACTATGGAAAACAATATGGAGGTTTCTCAAAAAAATTAAAAATAGTCTACGGCTCTGACACCCTGAGGAATAATAGATCCCATCTGATCTCGGAAGCTAAGTAGGGTCAGATCTGGTTAGTATTTAGACAGGAGACCACCTAGGAAGACCAGGTGCTGCAGGCGTAAAAAAAAATAAAAAATAAGAGATTGTAAGCTGACAAGGTCCTTGCAATCTGTGAGGTCAACCAAGGGTTGCCTCCCCTAAAAAAAAAAAAAAATTAAAAATAGAACTACCATTGGATTTCGTTAACCAATGTCATCATAAATAAACAAATGAACAAACAAACAAATAAATAAAGTGAGCATATATGTTAATAAGAAAAATAAATAAATAAAATGTCACTGAAAAGAGGGAAAAAAATAGAACTACCTTATGACCCAGCAATTCCACTTTCGGATATTAATCTGAAGAAAATGAAAACACTAATCCAAAAAGATATTTGCACCCCCATGTTCATTGCAGTATTATTTATAATAGCCAATACATAAAAACAACCTAAGTGTTCACCAACATAGATAAAACAAAAGTTGTGGTATATACGGCCATTAAAAAAAAAAAATTTTTCCACTTGTGACAACACAGATGACTCCGAAGGCATTATTTTAAATGAAATAAGTCAGAGAAAGACGTGCCGTATGATCTCACTTATATGTGGAAATTTTTTTTAAAAATGAGCTCATAGACACAGAGAACAGATTATTGGTGGTTGCCAGAGACAATGGGGGAGGGTGGATGAGGGTGGGCAAGATGGGTAAAACAGATCAAAAGGCACAGATTTTCAGTTATGAAATAAATATGTCATGTGAATGTAAAGTACAGCATGGTGACTATAGTTAATAATACCGTACTGCATATTTGAAAGCTGCTAAGAAAGTAAATCTTCAAAGTTCTCATCATAAGAAAAAAAATTTTTGTTAAATATGCAGGGTAATAGGTATAAACTAGACTTACTATGGTGATCATTTTGAAATAACACAAGTTTCGAATCATGTTGTTCACCTGAAACTAATGTTTTAGGTCAATTACATATCGATTTAAAAATTAAAGTAAATATGGGAACAACATCTCACTAAATAGAGAATATCAATAAAGTATAGAAATTGTTTAAAAGAACAAATGAAGAGAAAGAAATGTAGGAAACTCAGTAGTATATAAATATTTAAAAATACACTCGTAAGTAGCCAATGGGTCAAAGAAATCTCAGAGGAAATTAGAGAATACTTTTAAATGAAGGAAAACTGAAACAATATACCAAAACTTATGGATGCAGCAAAAGTAGTGGTTAGAAGTAAATTTATAGCAATAAGCACCAAAAAGAAAAAGGCCTTTATTAAAAAAGAAAAAGGCCTTTAATCAACAACCTAAACTTCCACCTTGGAAAATAGAAAAAAAAGAAGAGCAAAGTAAACCCAAAGTGAAAAAAAGAAAAGGAATAATAAAGACAAAAGCAGTAATATATGAAACAGAGAATCTAAAAGAACAGAGAAAATCAACAAACCTGAAACTATATCTTTTAAATAATCAATTTTTTTTGAAAAAAAAGACTTGATTTACTAAAATCAGAAATGAGAGGACATTGCTATCAACTGTACATTAATAAAAAGGAGTATGATGAAATATGATGAATAATTGATGCAAACTTCTGAAAATGATTCTAGAAGAGAAAATCTGCATAGCTCTAGGATAACAAGAAAAGAGATTGAAATAGCAATCAAAAATTTCTGACATAGAAAAGCCCAGAACCAGATGGCTTTGACGGTGAATTGTAACAAACATTTAATAAAGAATTAGTACCAATCCTTCACAAACTATTCCAAAAATTGAAGAAGATGACATTCAAATTTGTTCTATAATACCAGATTTACTCTAATGTCAAAATCAAAGATATTAAAGAAAACTACAATGTCTCATATGAAAATATATGCAAAATTCCTCAACCAAATACTATCAGAATAAATCCAACAACACATACAATGAATTACTCACTGCGTACAACTAACTGTGATTTATCCCAGATTTAACATCTAAATATCAATCTATATAATATACCACCCTAATAGAATAAAACACAAAAACCATATTATCATTATAATAGAGAAAAAAATATTTGGGAAAATACAACACGTTTTCACAATAAAAACATCAAAAATACTTGGAATAGAAGAGAACTTCCTCAAGTTTATAAAGGCAATCGATGAAACACTAACAGTTAACATCATACTTAATGCTGAAAGACTAAAAGCTTTCCCCTTAGATTAGGAACAAGGAAAACATCCTCTCTTGTCACTTCTATTTAATAATATACTAGAGATTCTAACCAGGGCAATTAGGTAAGAAAAAAATAAATAAAATCTATCCAGTTTGGAAAGGACTATGTAAAATGATCTCTATTCAGAGATAACATGATCTTATAACCTAAAGAATCCACTAAAAATTATCAGAACTAATAAAGGAGTTCAAGATAGAGGAAACGAAGTCGATGTACAAAAATCAATCGCATTTCTATACACCAGAAAATTACTTTTTAATTCATTTTAATTCATTAATTAAATTTTTTAAATACTTATTTTATAAACTGCTTACTGTGGGCTGATATTGCTTACTACGAGCTATCTGCTTTAAAGGATACCACCTCATTCAATTATTACAACAAAATTCTGAGATGAGGAGGGAAGATATGATTATTTGCTGCTTCCAGATTAAGAAATCAAGGTTCAGAGAGGTAAGGAGGCTTTTCAGAGGTTGCACGGATGGCTGGTAGAGAAGGGCAAGCACCAAGGCTTTGCATTCTAAACAGCAAGGTTCATACTCATGGGGTTCCCAAGGATCCCATTCTCATTCATGACCTTCAAAGTCCCAAACAAAAGTCTCATTCATTTGTCTCATTGTCAGAGGTTTCTGTTAGATGTGTTAAGTAAAAGGGTGGACACAGACATAAAAGCTTGAGTTCAAGACTGGGTCCATCTTACAGATCATGGAAACTACCAATTGTTAATTAATTAATTTCAACTGAATCATTTAATTAATTAAAAATTGAAGTACAATTTCATTTACATAGGATCAAAAATAAACTTAGGATTTTTTTTTAAGAATTATAAGACTTGTACATTGAAAACTATAAAACACCATTAAAAGAAATTTTTAAAAACATTAAAAAAAGGAAAGATATCCAATTTTTATGAATTACAAGATATAATATTGTTAAGATGGCAACATTCCCAGAGGTTTACATACTCAACACAATTCCTATCAAAAATCCCAGCTGCTGTGTTTTTGTTGTTGTTCTTTGGGGTTGGGCTGTTTCTTTTGTTCGTTTGTTTGTTTGTTTTGTACAAATTGGTAAACTAATTCTAATTCATATGGATTTTCAAGGGTGGCAAATTGAAAAATATTTCTTAAAAAGAGCAAACTTGAAGGACTCACATTTCCCAAATTTAAAAATTACTACAACACTAATTAGTACATTGTAGTACTGACATAAGGATAAACATAGATAAATAAAACAGAATTGTGAGTTCTGAAATAAACTCTTACCATAAGTGTGCCAAGATTTTGGTATAAATGATCATCTATATGTAAAAGAATGAATCTGAACCTCTACATAACATCATACACAACTCAAATTGGATAATATATGAGCTTAAATTCTTAGAGAAAGACATAAGAACAAATCTTAATGACCTTGGCTATTCTATGATTGCGTAGATATGATACTAAAAGCACAAGAGACAATAAGTTAGAAAAATTGGACTTAATTAAATTTTAAAACTTCTGTTATTTCAAAGAACACTACCTAGAAAGTGAGAAGACAACTCATAGAATGGGAGAAAATATTTGTAATTCATATATCCAGTAAGGATATATGTATCCAGAATACATAGAGAACTCTTGCAATTCAACAAAAGGATACATATACCAATTAAAAATGAATAAAACATATTGTATTAGTTTCCTATTGATGCAATAACAAATTATGAACAACTCTATGGGCTAAAACAACTCAAATTTCTTTTCTTCTACTTCTGAAGGTCAGATACGAAGCAATTATAAAGAAAACGTTTTGGATCATGTAGTTAACACTCACTATTCTATGAAGACTAATTAAATCTATCCAAGTTATGGAGTGGAGAGAGTCATTCTATTGAAGCAGTAAGAGTTATAAATGAGCTGTATGCATTTAAACATGTATACCATAGTTCTTGATTGCAATTAGGAAAAAGCTTCCATCAATAACATTATGAACCATATCACTATGCAGTGGAGAAAAGATAACGTGAAAACTGGAGGTGAAACTGAAAGCACTCATGTTTGCTTACTGTTTAGAGTAAGGCTCAGCAAACTTTTTCTATAAATTACCAGAAAGTAAATACTTTAGGCCTCGTGGGCCATACAACTCTTTTACAACTATTTAACTGCCTTTGCTGCATGAAAGCAGCCACAGACAATAGGCGAACAAGAGCAGGTTTGTTCCAGGGCATAGTCAGCCAGCCCCTGGTTTAGAGGATCTGGGAAAAAGTTATCAGAGCACAGTAGTGAAAAAGAGCCTCTGACATCCACAAACTGGCCTGGTACTCACACGCATGCTTCAGTGTTCAACTTTTCTGCTCTGCACCAGCAGTACAAGGCTAGGGACAGTTTATCATCAGTTGCAAATTTGGAAATTCTAGTTAACCTTCAAGATCTGGCTGTGTTAACTATTGTACAAAGACCTTTCTACCTAGCTGGAGGTAAATACATCGTCTTCTGAGTTTCTATATCACCTTGTTACAGATCTCCTTTAACACATTATTTTGCATTCTTATTAAATCCTACCTGTTTGTGTGCATCTTACACTTCCTTGGCGCATTAAAAATTTCTTACCGGGCAGAGTGTTGGAAAGAAGGAGGCGGTCCATGCCTGCCCTACAGTAAATTGGCTGCCCTTGGCCAAGACACCAGGGCGGTACGAGGTGCGTCAGGTCAGTCCGAGGCTCCCACTGTTACCATGCTGCTTCAGCGTTCTGCTCACCGCGAGCCCAGCTTCCGCGCGGCTAGAGCGAGTCTGCAGCCTGCACAGCCGCGGATGCAGCTGGGCCACGCTGCCCTTATCCCGGAAGCCCCCGCTACGTCCCGGAAGCCCCCGCTACGTCCCGGAAGCCCCCGCTACGTCCGGGAAGCCCCCGCTACGCAGGCGCCGCCCACGTTGGAGTGCCACGCAAGTATCTGTGCCAAGACCAGAGCCTGTGCCTGGACTGATGTTCCTCTCTGCATTCGGACAGTTCCTACCCACCTATCTGTTAACAGTCCTCCTGATGTGAGCCTGCCCCAGAACCCACCACCCCTCCCTGTGCCCCAGACACGCAATGCCTGTGACCAGAGGCTACAAGACGCCTTCCATATCAGCCTCTGAAGAGCTGGGGGATGGGTGACATGCTCCCATGCAAAAAGCTCAGGAACTTATCCCTCAGCAAGTACTCAGACTATAGTGGCTGCTTTCCCCATACCACTTCACCTCACAGGAGAGCAAGGCCTGGTTCCCTCAGAGGCGAAACTGCCACAATGCCTTTCTCCTGTCTCGGGTTAGCTGGCATTGGGGGTGGGTACCTAAGATACAGCCTCTGCCCATGACACTGAGCCTCCACTTCTGCCACATGCGTACCGCCCAGCTTGGCCAACCTTTAGTATAGTGGTGAGGCCCAAAAAATCTTGCGCTCCTCTTGGCTTCTCTAGAATTGGGATGAGTGCCTGGCTCCTGTCTCCTTTTTACCTTTTGCCACTGTTGGCAGCTGCTGGCTCAGGGCCATCTCACATCTGGTCCCTGGGTTCCACTGCCCTAGACAAGGGCTCCAGGACCCATTCCTGCACTCACTTGGGGAGTGCCACGGCTCCATGCTGGATATTTAAGTTTAGGGGCATGACTCCTGGGCACTGGATAAATAAATACTCTCTCAGGAAAAAAAAAAAAGATTCTTAGAAGCATTAACTATATTTTGCATTTCTTTACATACCCTACAGTGTCCAATGCTTTTCCAGGCACATGCAAGGCACTTAAATGATTATGGATACTGTATGAGTGCCAATACAAAATTATTCATAACTAGGCCACAGAAGAGATACAATTTATAAATACTGGTGCAAAAAAATGTAGTTTTTAATCCTCTGTAAGGCATTTTTGGCAAATCTTAAAATATTTTAAGTATGTGAAAGCATAGAATAATTACCTTACCTGCATGCATCCTTCATCAACCTTGCCCTTTTCAGGATCAACTTTAAAATGTGCAGTTTTTTTAAAGCGGTACATCACAGGAAGTAATTTGGATGGATTTTGCATAACACACGCAATATCTGACTGTTCACCAATGAGACACGGTGCAAAATTAAGGACTCTTCCTGTATCAAACTGTAATATGACAGGAAGTCCTGAGCCTGTCAGTGCTAATTCCAATTTCTGAAACCGATCACCTGTAAAAGCAATAGTAGCTTTTTAACATAAAAAGTGTGTTTGGGGAACCCAAAATATATTTTCTCAGTCCAACTAGTGTCATCTGAAAGACCTGTGTAGCTCATTCAATCTTTCATTCAACAAAACAATTGAGCACCAACTACTCTTCCAAGACAACGTTCTTGTTCTCATGGACTTTAAAGTTTAGTGAGGTGACACTGATAATAAAATAAATAAGTAAATATATAGCATTTCAGAGATGATAAAGTGCTGAGGAAAGTAGAGTGAAAAGGAGCAGAATTTGTCACCCCAACATATGTCTCTTTGGCATGAGGATTATTTTAGACTGATTATTTTTAAGAAAAAGCGGACATAAGAAAAGCTCTGAAAACCTAACCTAGTAGAAGTGACCCTTTTGTAAGAGACACATTAATAAGGGAAATCTCCATTTGTAAGGGTATCTCCCTCTCTGCACCAGGAAGAAACTTTTATCAATGGAGAAGGCAGAAGCTTAAATCTGCATAACAATCTTACCCTCCTTTACTGTGCTCAGCCTGAAAACCTCCTATAACTGGCTCCCTACCCCCAACAACTTCTTTTGTCTTTAACTGGAGATGGTATTGAAGGTGGTGACTTGGGCCAATTTAAAGAGTTACTCAGTTTTCCTGGGTAGCTCCCATGTATACAGGAAATATACATGTTTGCTTTTCTCCTGTTATTTATCTTTTATTATAGGGGGTCTCAACCAAGAACCTGGAAGAGTAGAAAGGATATTATTTTTCCTCTCCTACAAGAGTAAGACAGAGCAGTTCAACTTGGCACTGCTCTTTTATATGGGGAAATCCAAAAAGGCATCTCTGGTAGGGAGATATTTAAGCAAAAATATAAAGGTACTCTGGAAGAAAATCATATGAACATCTAGTAAAAGCACATTCCAGATAGAACAGCAAAGACAAAGATTCTAAGGCAAGAATTTGCTTGGCATGTTCCAAAAACCCTAAGGAACCATATATATCTGGATAAGAGTAGTAGAAGCACGGTGAGAAATGGTCAGATATAAGGTATCTTTTTGAGGGTAGTGTTAACAAAATTTACTGATGGATTGGATGTAGCATAGGAAATTGAACACATAATAAATGATGATGCTAAGGTTTTGGACCTGAGCAACTAAAGTGATGGAATTGCCACTTCTTGAGACAGAAAAGATTGCAGGAGGTATAGGTTATGGGGAAAGCAGGAGTTCTTTTTTGGATATGTTAAGTTTGAGGTGCCTAGTAAAACATCCAAGTGGAAATGTCTACTAGGTCACTTAAGATATTTTACAAATTTAAAGATGAAGGAGGAAGTATTGAAGGTTTGAGGTGAGAAGCAAAGTTGTGTGATATTAATCTCATATTGAATGAATGTAGGAATGCAACAGGAATGGCAAACATCTTAAAGGATCCACTTGGGGTTAGCAATTATAGATTAAAAAGTGAAACCTCACAGTATGGTTTTATGTTTTTCTCCATCACAATTAGCTTCCCAAGTGCAGACCCAGAATAGGCCCTGGAGTTTAATCAGATGAAAGGTTTTCCACTCAGTCACTATGGGAGATGGGCCAAGATAATGTAGGAAGGAGGCAAGAGAACTAAAGTGATAAATCAAGCTACATTCAGAGACTTCAATATGCTAATCAGCCCTGCAGCCAGGCTAAGAGAACACCTGCAGAACAAAGGAAGATTTCTGCTGGGATTGCTAACAACCCATTCCCCACACCCTGAAGGGGAAACAAGGAAAACAGAGTCTTTAAATGGCTGCCTTACGCAAAATAAAATCATTCATTCCCTATGGCTAGAGCCATAAGGAACCTATGGATTAAAGCCTGGGAACTGCCAGCAGGCCTTTCATGCTACATACTCTTATCCTTCCTCACTCTATATCAATATCCAAGGAAACAGATAAACAAAATCTTTAAACTGTAACTCACAAGAACTAAAGAATGATATATAAAGTGAATTCCCCGACAATGGAGGTCGGGGTAGTCCCTCTCACAGCCTTTACACCCACTGTCTTCTCTCAGTACTCTTGACTCCGTCTCTTTTTACTGTCTCTCTCACTGTCCTCGTCAGTCTTAGGCTCTCTCACTCTCTGCTTCTGAGAGGAGACCACACTGTCTGTAGAGTGTTGCCCCTTTTCTAATAAACTTTCCTTTTAACTCTAACTTTAGCTTGTGTTTGAATACCTTCTACACTCTCCACCAAAGAACCCTCTTCTTTTCTCAGTGCAGGGTTTGGTCTCTCCCCACTCAGGGAAATCTGTTCTGTCCTGCATTAAAGATATTTAAGTGTACATGGAAAAAGGTGATTAAAAGAATGAACAATGGAATAATATAAGCTGGGTAATAAGAGAAACATGAATTTTTGGAGATACTAGAAAGAAGGTAGGAACTATGAATTCTATGCTCTAATTGGGTGAAAGAATAGTTTTGCAGAGAGAGCAATGTAACTAGAATCCAAAAAAAAAGTTCATATTTCTTCACTGATGCTCTTACTAGCCACATTACCTAAGGCAAACCTAGCATCCTCATCTCTAGCCATTCAAAACTAGATGAACTTCAATCAGCAGACAGAGCTCAATATCACAAACCATGACATAAGTAGTAACGGAGCAATGAAGTCCTGTCCTAGGAATACAGTTTAACTCTGCTCAATGACATATATCACTGTATTGACTTGCAAATCTTTTAGACTCTTGATTTGCCATGGCTCATCTTTCTGGATTTGATCCCTCACTTGCCTATATCTTTATTTTTTCTCTGATTTGCCTTGCTAAGCTGAACTCCAATTCTCGTTCTATTTTTGCTCACTGCAGCCCGTCCAATATTACCTGAAAAGGTAAAAAGTGCAATGCATCTTGACACATGTCCTGCAAAGCATATGAACTTACCAATATCCTATGACAGGATATTTCACCCTATTTACCGAATCTCTATGTCTTGTTCTTTGACTGTTACTGTATTTAGATTCTGGGAGCAGAAGATCTGGTAGAGATGGAATGGGTCATTTGTTCCCAAATCAATCTCTAAAGGAAAATCTACATTTACATAGGAAAAGAAGCCAGAGTGGATTTTATTTTTTTTGTTTGTTTTTCACTCCTCAAACTGTATATCATTACGTTTTTCTAATGTCCTTTTAAAATGATAAAATCCTCTAAATTATAGTTGGAAGATTATTATGTAAATGATTTGGAGGTTGATATTTTCTTAACATGCAACAGAAGACATTTTAAGGTCTCTTGATTATGTTTGCATTTTCGTTCTTATTTCGTTCGATAATTATATATTTTTATTAAATTGCCTCTACAAATCTTGATGACCAAACTTTTAAACAACTTAAATTGCTATACATTTGTTGATTACATTCATTTCACACTTACTTGTGATGGTTTTACTGTTATCGTCTCTCAAAAATCCGTCTTTACTTCCTACAGAGTCAAATCTCAAAAAGAGAGCATAGTCCTGCCTGTGTAAGGGATCATTATCCTTTTTACTATCAGCAATTAGCCTGTAAAAAATTACAATCGGTTTAAAGCACAGATGATAGATACACTTTGTTACCGCTCAAAAGGGACTATCGCCCGAATCCTTAAATCTATGCAAACAAGTGAAAGTTCAGGAATAAAAATATGACTGTGATCCATTTTTCAATATTACTGAGCAGACATAGAGTTGCCAAAAAAAAAGGCCACGAAATGTAAATATCCAAAAAATAAAGAATTCATGACAACACTTGCAAGACAAGAATAATTTTAAAACACTAATTCATCAAGGTTTACCTCCAATACCACTTTCTCTATGTAAAGGCTTGGCGAGCTCATTGCTGGATAAGGACTCTGTTCAAGTCCCTAAAATAGTCTTTCTTACCCCTGTGTATAATTGTGAACCTCTGTTACATAACTGTTCCTCCCAAAGACTAAGCACAAATGGCTAGCCACATTCTTGTTAGAGAAGCACAGGTAATTTGGAGAATAGGAAGGAATGATGGGAAGAAGAGAAGTAGCACCAGAAAGATATGGGTTACATCACAGGCCTGCGCATTGGCAATCTTTACTTGCCTTAACTAGAGGTCAGCTTTTTTAGCAGTAGATACTCATATACATACACAAAGACTGATGTGAAATATTACATAAGAATGCAAATAGAACATTGAGAACACATTTAATTAAGACTTCAAATAATGCTCATATCTACGAGTTTATGCTAGACTCTCAACGTTAACATGCTGCCATGAAAAAGAATACGTACTTAAAATTTCAAAGATTGTGTGTTAAACAGAATCTTACAGATTCACCAAAGAAATTTCCTATGGGAAGGTATAATGAATAAGGCAAGTATAGATTGTACAAGAAGAACAATTACTTGATTTATTACTCTCCATAACACAACTCAGTTTTCAACACACAACTGGTATCATCAAGCGACCCTACTGCCACAGAGAGGACAGTAAACATTGCTCTCTCACAAACGAGGATAAACATACTTATTAGATGGGTTATTGCCACACACTGCAACCTCTCAAGTGTAGCTTAAATTGCTACAACATATTTAAAACAGCACTTCCAAATATATTTTCAAACTAAATAACCAAACCAGGTACTCAGAATTGTGTAAAATATCCATTGGCAGAAGTCCTCAAAGTCTGTATGAATTTCAGCAACCAAGTATGGTTGATTCCAGCAACTGCTATAGGCTTAATATTCATGATGCTCAGTCAGCAAGCATTTTGCCCTGGCAGGAGTACTGCATCCTCTCTTTGGAGGCACCTAGAACATACTGCATGCCATTGGTCATAACCTATTTCTGCAGGGACAACAAGGTATTGGTTACACCAAATGGTTTGGAGCCACAATCCAAAAGAACCCAAAACTTCCACTTCCACCATCACATTTTCACAAGGTCTGGAGAGATTTTTAATTTAACATGAAGTATTTAGAATCATATTTTTAAATATTGAAAATAATATTAAACATGTTAGAAATATTTAGAACCATCATAAGAAATATCTGATTTGTGCTTTCTGACATATTTTAATACTAAAATCAATCTGATGAATGTATGGCTAATATATTTTCCATTTAATCACAATGAAATTAACTTTTGCTTACTTTGGACTGAAACAAAATGTAATGGTAATCTTTTGATAAGGTAGTAACCTTCCTTCATTAGGAACACAGGAGATAAAATTGGTAATATCTATGTTCTTTATTTTTCTTAAGTAGGTGAGATTATTTACAGCAACATCTGTTCTTTGGTGAATATTTGTACCCTGTAATATAAAATCATAAATAAAAGAATATTAAGGCAAAACACAAATAAAATAAAATATTTTAAGAGGTCATAAAATAATTATTGAAATTCTAGCATCAATATGTGTGTTTTTAAATAACATAAATTTAATCAAGGTAAATTGTAAAATTTAAGTAACTTTTGAAAAACTGATGAGAACAGAAATCCCCCAGCCCCAGTTAGCCACTGACTTATAAGAAACACTTATCTGAATTACTTCAGATATATTACTATCAATGTTAGTTTAATATACTGAACTTTTTCAGGTTCCCCCTTGGAGACTCGTGGAATGAAATCTTATCTGCATGTTAAAACATATTTAGAGAATAAGTAAACAGCTTGTTGGTTATTAGTAAGTTCAAAACAATCTGTTTTAAAACATAATACCTGATTTTCTTCTGTTGCATTATTTACTTACCAATTCTTCTCCAACTGTATCATTTTGCATTATGGCCACCCAATTTATCGGTTCTGGGCTATTATTGTATAGAAGTGCATGTTCAATCTTTGATGTTCCAAAGAAAGCAAAACCAAAGTGTATGCATTCCAGCTTTTGATTATCGCTAATGTTTAACAATTCAATAATCTGCTCAACCACATGAACTTTGATATTCAAGAATATATCTGGATGACCTTGCAAACGTACTCTACAAGATAATAAAGTATACATATATATTTTAATTAGTATTCTATAAACTATTTTTCCCCTAATTATTTGTATAAATAGAACTTTAATAAAATCATATTATTAAAATTCAAAGGCCTAAGAGCAGTTCCTTTCACGTTCATGCCAGAGGCTGTCATGTCCTTCTGTCTGTCTGAACCTGCACAGTAAAATGGCATATGTGGAACCTAATTCATTGTCTCCAGGAGACAACAAAGTTGGGACAACTTATTGGTATGTCCATATCACCAATTATTTTTTAAATACTAGTGTTAGATGGGATGATTTATGTAGTCACCTCTAGTTCTAAAATTCTGAGATTCTTTTCTAACTCATCCTACTCCCCCAAGTTCGACAGCCAACCTCATCCCCATCCTAATAACTCAATTCCCTAAAAAAAGTAAAGTATCTCAGCAAAACCCCACTCTTTGCTGAAATGAATACCCCTGTATATAACTCCACTTCCCAGACTAATTTGAATTCCCTTTTGAAACTGGCCCCCACCAACATTTATTCCCTCTCTGGCCAATATACAATCCTTTTGGATCTCACCCCATCAGATATCACAAAAGACTGACCACTTCACAACCTAAGTCTTTATCTTACACTAGACCTCTTCATATTGGACATGGTTGATACCAATTCTTGGCACATCTTTCCTCCTTAGCTTTTTTGACACCATACTTTCCTGGTTTTCTCTAACTAATTCAAACTCTACCTTCTCATTCTTCTAAGACTTGGATATTTTGTAAACTCCATGACTAATAGTATTTCTCTCCTACTCTTTCATACTCTACCCTGCTCAAAGTTATTTTTAACATTTCATGCTTCATTGACAACTTATCCACTGACAACCCTCAAACCAATATACCTAGACTAAATTTTTTTTTTCTGGACTCAAGGTAAGTAAATCTAATAGGCTACACAGTATTCTGCAAAGCAAGTCAACTTTATCATTTTAAAACTGAGTTCAAGATCTTCTCCCACAGACCTGCCCTTCCTCTTACTTTCTCTTTGCATAACCAGTCACTAAATCTAGTCAAATCCACCTCCATAACATATTTCCAATCTACACAATTGTCTCCATACCCCCAATTTGTACCTTAGCTGATGCCTTTATCATTTCTCTTCTGCTTTATTATTATAGATTCTAGTCAGGTTACCCACTCCACATCTGTACTCCCTGATTTGTTTTGCACACTGCTATTAGCATTACCTTCCTAAAATGCAAACTAATTAAGACACTCCCATCTTAAAACCTTCCTGAGATTCCACAGCATTCACAATAAAACCGAAGATCCTATCAAGGCTCACAACTGTTTCTCAAACATTTTTAGGGCTGTGACCTTCAGTAAGAAATACATTTTACATTGCAATGTAGGAAACACACACGCTTTATGAAACAACACTTGCTCCTACTATGTGAGATGATTCTGACATTTTTCATTTTATTGTTTTAATACTGGTGGCAGCCCATTATAGTGATTGTACATCCCACTAATGAGCTGAAACATACAGCATTAAAAAATGCTGTCCCATGAGGTTCCTTATTAGACCTTGCACCATTCTAGTCTTCGGGTCTCATCTCTCATCACTCCTCACCTCTTTTTGTCTCCACATTCCTCAGCTCTCTCAATGTGTTACACTGTCTACACACCTCTAGAAATTCAAGTCTTCTACTTGCTTTGCCTGATTATCACTCCTCTAACCCATTCCTATCACCAACACCCACCTCCTCTACACACACATATACACGCATGCATACACACTCTCACTCAGCCCAAATCACACTGTGTCTGGTTAATTCTTACTCACCAGTAAGTGTTTGGTTCAACTATTACCTCCTTATTGGAATCCCAACTAATTGATTCACTCCCTCATCCCCACAAAATCCAAACTAGGAGCTCCTGTTATGTGTACCCATATGCTACTCTCTGGTTCTTTCCATTTTTGAGTTCCTAGTGCTTGCCAAATATTAGAGACTCAATGAATTAATGCTGACTTAAAAAAAAAAAAAACCGACAAGAAGCTAACCTACATTCAAAGACAATAGGCATATCCGAAGAGTAAAACAGAAAAGCAGAAAAGTATTAAGTACTACATTAGAATTAAGAACCATAGTATACACTTACTTTGCCACTTCATTTACAACTCTGGGCTGGTCTGCACAGAAATCCACTTTAATAATCACTGATGACTTGGGCTCCACAATACCATTAGTTGGAAAAATGACAATGGGTAATTGGCCCTGGTATTCTGTTGTAAACATACCTAAGGAGAACAAGAGCAGTAGTTTACATCTAGACCCTTACAGTATTACATTCACACTCTTAGTAGGGGTCGGGCACATATTACAGAGTATCCGGTCTATTGTGGACCAAGAATTACAACTTTGATTAGAAGTTCAGGCTCTAGGGTCACCCAAGATATGTGAGTCTAGAACTCAACACTCATCAAAAGCTAAAATATATTGACTATTTACCGTATTCAGATATTTATGCTACGAGCTCTGTGTATGGTATTCTATTTAATCCTCATAATGATTCTATGATATAGATTCAATCATTACCTCCATTTATGAATAAGGAAATAGAAGCTTAGAGAGGCTGAGTGACTTGTCTAAAGACACACAACTATTGTGGTAGATTAGATTGTTGACCCCAATTCTCCACTCTTCTTTGCATCCTTACCACTACCTCACCATGGGCAAAGTAGGTTTTCCTACCCCTTGACTTTGAGATTGATCATGTGATTTGCTTTGGTCAATAGCATGTGGGTAGAAGTGACAACATGCCAGATCTAACCCCATATGTTCTCTTGTACTTCTACCATGAAAAGTGTTTCTCTTGAATAATTGCTGTTCCTATGGCCTTTGCCCCAGAATGAGCAAATATAGAGCACAGATACCCAGCTGACTCACTGACTTGCAGCGAGTAACGGAACAGCCCCAGTTCCCTCAGACTGAAGCAGAGCCACCCACCTAAGCCCAGTGTAGATCAGTCAAGTTCTAGCCAATCTGCATACCAATGAAAAATTTAAAAATAATTACCTTTTTAAAATACAGAGTTCTGAGGTGGTTTGCTACATAGCAACAGTTGACTACTACAGCTAGTAAATAATTGATAGAGCTGGAACATTCCCCTGGATTTTTCTGACCATAGGACTCACACTTACAGCCAGTGCCACTCTCTATAGATGAATTAATGCAGTTCACACAGGGAAAGGGCAAAATAAATGGGTTTCTAGAATCAAATAGCATATGAAAAGGAGGCTACACAAATTTATTCTTCCAAAACTAGAAATGATTCATAATTTATGGTTATGTTTGGTACCTATATTAGAGCATGCAATCCTTGAGATCAGATACTATCTCCTTTTCATCTCTGTGGTCCTGGCATCCCACACAGTGCCTAGCACAAAATATGTCCAACATGTGGAAGCAGCCAGTCACAAGTTTCTTAAATATCATTTTACAATATTAAACAAATGAGCACAATGCCAACATAAAGTTTGCAAATTCCCAATAAACCAGATTTAAATCACATTTGATGACATTTCCCAAAATTATTCACTTAACTTAGGAGAATAAAATGTTAGTATACTAAAAGCACTGAAAATATAAAAAGACAATACAAATTTTTTTAAGTACAGAGATGAACTGATGGAAAAGGCAAATTCGCATTAATAAAATTTGTTAATCTAATCATTTTTAGAAAAGTGCTAATGACATAATATTTCAGGTTTACTTTTCTGTCATAAAATGCAATAGAAATCTGTAAAAATTATATGCATTTCAAATAAATATTATTGACTTAATTCTCCAGAAAAAGAAAACTATATGAGTTCAGTTAAGGCTGAGTTAGTTTCTATATTGTAACTGCTTTGACATAATTTGACAAAAGAGTTTAAGTAATGTTTCAAATGCTTATTCAGGAACATCCCCAAAACCAAAAGAACATGGTTCTGTCTTCTAAATATATTAAAACAGTGGCTACACAAACATTACCTTGTCTTATAACTTTAATACCATTAGTAATTATGAAATATTTTACTGTTGTATTTTTTAATTGCTAACAACAGGACCAAGAACATTATCCTAAGAGAAGGCTGTCATTGAAGGAAAGACATTACAGATGGAATTTTGTCATCAAATTTTCACTTCCTTTCAGATATGACACTGGCTAATGTGTAGAGAATGAACTAGAAAGAGATAAGAGGAGACTTCAGAGAAGTAAGTTAGGTTAGTGTAATTACTAGGCAAGAGATGATGATGGCCTGTTGCAGAGAAGCAGCAATGGGACAAAGAAAAGTAGAATTACTAACGTAATTAGGAAGTGAATAGACAGGATTTAATAATTGACTGAATGAGGGGGGTAGGAGGTGATAAAAAAGGAGGTGTCAAGGATTTCGCCAAGTTTCTGACTTGCCCAAATACATGGTGATAACATTTAATGGGGAAAAAAAAGAAGTTTTGGGGAGATGCTGGGGAGTTCAGTTTTAGACATGTTAAGTTTGAGAAACTTGAAAGAAATACAAGGTATTATACAGACTTCAGTGAAATAACGGGGATGAAAGTGATTGCCTACAGAAAGAGTGCTGACGGAGGAAACATGAGGTCCCATGGCAAATCCTAAAGAACATTCACATTTAATGTGTCATTAAAGGGACAGCACTCCACAAAAGAGAATTGAAGAGGAGGGAGGCAGTAGAAAAAAATAATGCTAACATCAATGTATAAGTAAGGCAATGGATGTTTGTGAAGTTTAAATTCTTTGCTTAGGGCTTCCCAGCCAGTAAATGTTGCAACCAAGATTTGGGCAGTGGGAAACCTCACTCCAGGACCTGAGCTATAATTAATCATTATGTTATATAAGAGAGTGAAGGGGTCATAGAAACCAAAGTTGATTTTTTTCAAGAAGGCGGCAATGGCCAACTGTATCATATGTTGCTAATAAGCCATGTAAAATAAACATCTGTACTTGTCCACTGCTGAGACTTAGGAGAGCACATGAGATGTGAGGATACCCTTAGCTGTGGCTGAGATGAAAGGTCTTTTGCACAAACTTGTATGTTTTTTGATTCTGAGTTGCTTTACCTTCTCTAGAAAAGCAGCTTAGGTACTGGATGGTGAAATATACATTGTTACCTTGCCTTTACTGCTCCAAATACAGGCAAACAGTCTGTAGTTTTATAGGATTCTACTGAAAATCAAGAGTCACATACCCAAGGCCATTGTTATTTCCTATGTACACTTTATTTTCTTAAGTTTCCTTAAGTCTAAGAATACCAAAGATGTACCAATCTCCACGAGTCTCCAAATGACTAAGTTTTAGAGACTCTTCAGAATGCTTATATATGATTAAATGGGTTACTTCTGAGTTCAATCACTTTTCATTGAAAACTTAATGGTTCTTTACTGAAACTCTTGAGAGATCACTGAACCAAATCAATTAAACGAAGGTTTATTGAATGTCTGCTATATATCCAGTATGGTAGAATGTATGAAAAGTATATTGAGATTCCATGGCATCAGTTTCAAAGAAAAGAAAAAAAAATACACATTGAGAATAAGTAACGGGTGCTTTTCTGGGTAATTAGGGAGGATCTCAAAGACCACACCTGTGTTGGGTCCAATTTAGCAAATTTCCTGGTTCACAGATGATGCCGGGCTTTTTAAGACAGTAGAGAGATGATGCCAATGATCTGGGAAAGGGGGAAGAGTGGGCATTAAGAGCAACAGAAAGGTTATATATTTTGGGCAAAATGACCCAAATAAAAGTAAAAAATGAGTTCTAACATAGCTGTTCAATCCCAGATCACACTAGCAACTTTAAAGACTGTTCTACATCATAACACTGTAGTAGAAAAAGTCTACTCAATATTCAAGGATACTGAAGTAAAGAGAGAAATGATTGCAATTCAAGGCATGTTAAAATAACAATAGTTTTTTAGTCTTCAAAGATAAAAACTGAGAAACAATAAAATTGTAAAAGAGAACATGGGGTTCACCAGCTCACAAAGCACTAATAGTAGAGACACCTTAAAGACCATGTCTCTTAAAAATGAAAAGATAAATACTACTTTGCACAGTCAGGAGTGAACTTAGGAAACATTCTTATAAAAGGCGAAAAAACAAAATGTATTCAAACAACATTTAGCTAAATCCATGGATGGTTACTCCATAATGAGCTATAAAAATAGAACATGATGAAGTTGTTACGCAGATAAACTTTGGGGTCTACAAAACCAAAGATAATAACCACAGTGACACTTATCAGAGAGAGAAAACAAAGCTGTACAATCATGCATCTGTCGAGTGCAGTTTTTTATGTCCTCTGAAGTATACATATAAATTTGTAAACATTTGGTCTTTGACTTTAAAACTATAAAATATTTGCCAAATAAAATCCTTCTTAAAATTTTTATTAAAATCATCTTTGGTTGCCGAATCTATTTTCTGCATAAGTGTTTTTCTTCATGAAAATCCATTGTTATTCTCATGAATATTTATATATTGTGCTTGTAGGTAATAAGGACTTTATGATACTTTACAGGCACTTGCTACTGTGAATATAAAACATACTACCAATTTTGGTAATGGTGAAAAAAAAATAAATATCATTCAATTACAAGAATGAGAGACAAAGTCTCTATCCTTAATATTAGAGTCAGACCACAATTAAGCCTAATATTCTACGATCCCACAAGTGCCAGAAATTCATTCACTTAAAAACCAAAGCATAAAAAACAAAATGAGCAGCATTCAGTGAGGAACAATTATCAGTTTTATTTGTTTATACCCTAGGAAGAAATCTGTGAAGTGACAGACTGCCTGTCTTAATAATTCCCACTGCTCAATCAAGCAGCTCCAGAGAACATCCTCACTTATGTAAGACAGGTTTGGATTCGATACCTTGTTTATGTATACAAAAAAAAAAAAAAAAAACAATCTTAGAGCAAAATGTCCTTCCTGTCTGTAACTACTCCTCATTTCACCTTGGTGGAAATGACTGTCTTGCCACCCCTGATGCTGACTTTCCTATCAGGAGGATGAGGGGATAAATGATTTTATCCCTACTGTATACTATCAATGAAGAGTATGCATGAACACATATACACACATGCCTTTATATAAACTCTTAGGTCACAGAAAGAATCTCTAGAAATAATCCATTCTGGAGAAGAGAGAAGCATTTATTCTTTCAACAAAAAGTTAGTAAGAGTCTTCCAGGGCCCACTGTGTGAATTCAAAGTTGAATATAATAGAGAAAAAAAACAAATATTTATTGAGTGCCTATGATAAATCAAGTACCATATCACAACCTTAAGTACATACATAATTAAGCACAGTACATTTTATTAGCCAGTTTATAAATGAAGAATCTCAAGGTCAACATCCTTAAAGATACGTGTCCTAGATCCCACAGCTAGTAAGGCACTATGCCTTGATTCTATCTCTTGATGGCTCTAAGGACTATGTCACTTCCATGACAAAATCCTGCCTTCTATCCTCAGGTTGATTACCAGTCATCTGAGGGTCAGCTTGTGTCAATCAGGATCATAAGGAGGTGGATTCGTCTTTCCTGAATTACTGCCTATCAGTCATTTATAGTTTTGGGCTTTCAAATGAGACATTTTGGGGGTGGGGAGTAGGGAGGGAATCAGAGAATCCATTAATTATACTATGTATACATTTCAAATAGTACCAATTTTATTCTAAAAGTGTAAGTTAATTTATATGACAGAAAGTATTTACCTGGAACCTTGCCACGGTTAATGATACGAATCTCTTTACAATATACTTTACTATTGGCAACCAAAATGCCAAAATTAACTTCTGGCTCAATCTCCAATTGACATGCTGGAATCAACCTAGGGGAGGAGAAGAGAGGACCACATCATGAATTTTAACAATTATAAGCTGTGGTTAAATCTAAAGGGGGGCATATAAAGACACTTTTCAGTTTCTTTACAGGTCTACTGGTGGCACATTTGTCAGTAAAAGGAATTGTGAAATAAAGACATGAAAACAAGATAACAAAGCAAACACACTTTTAACAAAGAAATAAGACTTTATGCATTTAAGTACATGGCATACCCTCCCAAGTACTCACATTGAGAGGCTACCCACATGTCTCAATATTTTTTGTAGTTTAAAACACATTTGGAACTCTATTTTGGAATTGCCACCTAAGATAACATAACACATTCTTTCAACCCTCCTCAAAAAGGGTGGAACTGATTTTAACAAAGCAAAGTAGTTTGGATGATGCCAAATGTGATGAAATAAAGGAAGGTGTGATGCTATAAAATATAATTTGAGGACTAAAAGAAGGTCTAAGTACAAAAAGATACAATTGATTTTTTATGTGTGTCTCTAATTTAAAGAGCTCACTGTAGCATATTTATAGTATATGTTTTCATACGTTTTAAAAATCCATTATAATCCTACATATATGTCTCATACATATAATTTATAGTTTATAAAAGCACCATTAAGTATATTATCTTGTTTGATACTAAAAAATTCCTGAAAGGTAGATAAGTATTATATGGCTCCTATGTTTCAGATGAAAAGCCAAAGACTTAAAAAATCTAAATAATTTATCTAAAGAATTACCTGAATATAATGTTGGTGAATTTAGCCTTGAATCCACATTATTAGACTTCAAGTACATTACCCTTACAAACTTAATAATGGTAACAGCACCAATAATAAATATAATAATAACTGATCTTTACTGGCTCCTTAGGTTATATACCAGCCACATGAATTAAGTAATATACTCCAAACAGAATACAAACTCCAAAATATACATACATACATACATACATACACACACAAAAAAATACATAAATAAGAATACCTGAACAAAATATTCACAAATACTGCCTTATGCACTGGTGATCTGGGCCTTCTTGATGGGGTGTGTGTTTACATGTGTTTGTGTATTATTGGACAGGTACAGACATTCCAGAGATCAGCTAGGACTGGCCTATATATGAGGCATCTTCTAAGGAATAACCATGTTCTTCTCATAAAGAGATTGTAATTTTGTACATAATTGTACATAATTGCAGTAAAGAGGTTACACAGTCTAAAAAAGGAACTTGTTACACCAACAATATAACATGTGAAGCCTGAAACATTTTTTCAAACTATTTCTCTAGCTGGATGGAGAAAAGTGTCTTAAGAATAATTTCTTAGGAATCTTCTCTCTCTCTCTCTCTCTCTCTCTCTCACACACACACACACACACACACACACACACACACACACACACACCCCTTCCTTCAGCCTTGTCTATCACACTTTAAGTTGGGCAGTGCTGGCATTATATTGAAACTGGTGAGTAGCTGGCCTCTGATGAGAGAGTGGATGTATGGGAGTAAGAGAAAAACCCTGTTTTGAAAGGCAAAAGCATCTTTAACACTGCTCTCCATTTATAGCAGTGCTAGCCATAGGTATATCAATGTGCAAAATGGACCCAAAATAACCCTACTTAAAATAAAATGTAAATTAAATATTTATAATAGGTTAATAGTTTGTTCCTTTCCTAACATGTGTCAATTGTTTGATTTCTATGCAGAATGGGATGGTGTGCAAAAACAGAACTTCGCAACAACATGAAGAACCAAAATAATTGCAGATCTAAATTTAGTGTATAAAAATGAAAAAAATAAGGGAAAAATAAAAAGGTAAATGTCTAATATCAATATCACATTAATACTGCAATATCAATTCTGCTTCTGGTAAACAAAAAGAGCTTTCTTTACTAAGTCTTTCTGCCAAAAGGTACAAAAAATATAGTAGAAATAAAATAGGATGTAAAGTTAAGGGAAAAAAAACACAGGCAATTTTTGAATGTTTTTATCTTAATAAAAAACACCAGCAAACAGTCTTCATTTGTTTTAAACACTACAATTTGCTAAAAGTTTGTCCTTTAAATTAAGTTGTAAGGAAACTATAAATGCAACAAACCCTATTAGTCAGAGAAAATACAGAATATTACTTTGACCCTAATTTTTATTTCAAGAGTGCTCAAAATGTCAGCATAAAATACGAAGAATACATACCCAATGAGAGGGATCTCTATTGCTTTATTTCCTATTAAAATAAATAGTTGGTCAGAAATGTCTTCATCTTTATCAGGATGATATTCCACCATAGCTGTCATCTGAAGTCCAGAAGCAAGTTCTTTATCCAGATTGTTCAAAATCAGTTTGAACTTCGATGGGAGAAAAAAGATCTAATTATACATCTTAACTTCTAATAAGAAAATAATGTGAGCAACTGTAGTTAGGAGTGTATATTATTTCAAGAGATATATCAAACCATAGACAATATTCCTGCCCTAAAGGCAAAGATTTAATGACTGTATTAATACTTATCCAATTCTAGATTCTTCAGATATACTTTCAACAAGACATGATTTGAAACTGACAATGCAGTCAGCTGAGAAATATGTAAATGATCATGGGCTCCTTTAGAAGTACGAGGTACTTAAATACAGAAAAAAAGGAAGAGCAATCTAATAAAAATGTTGCTGAATCATATAGACATACATAATACATACATGCATACATATACACAAACATACATACAGTATTTTATATACTTTCCACATGAGAACTCAGACTTTTTAACTTGGAGGAAATATAAAAAAGGAATAGACCAAAGAGAAAAAAAAAAAAAAAAAAACACTTTTGTTCTTTCAAAACATTTGCTAGATTCCAGGACAAAAATTAAGGGGGAAAGAGAATAACTGTTATCTGTTGAACACCTATGGTAGGTCAAGCATTCTACATCTATTATCTCAATGCACTTCTACAGTCCTGTAAGGCTGATATTAAGGCTTCCAAGCAGATAGATGAGGAAACTGGGACCTGTAGAATATAATTAATGACTAAGGTAACCCTGAGAGTGAGGATTCAAAACATGCAACCTATCTGACTCTAAAAACTTAAGCTCTTTCACCACAGTTAGAAAGAGTTCCTTTCCTGAATACATAATCTCTTTAACCCATTTCTCATTTAGGAAAAAAAAAAAACAAAAAACAAAAAAACTGCAGCTCGCTGCCAGCGTTAATTTAACATAAACACTCTCTTTGAGGCTGAAGCAAATCTGACTGGTTTTCAATGTGAAAATATAAAAATTTTTCTTAAGAGTTATTTCTAAAGAGAACTTGTCTCTAATTTTAATGTAACAGAAGTGTATACATAAATCGGATTCACCAAATGAATTTTTAGCTAACAACTGTTCGAGAATGATGTTAACATCATGTGTAGGAATGCTACGTTTTCTAGGATTTGACATTCTCAGTGATCGAGCATAACTATATTTTGTAAAAGGAAATACCACTACTAAAACAGAATGCTATAAAAAAAAAAAAAAGATGTCATTTGTTTCCAAAGACTATCAATATTGATGCAAAAATAATAATAAAATCGAGATATTTCGTGACAAACTTTGGGTGTTAGGACTTTAATCCACAAGTTATTTCAGGGTAAACATTGCAGCCGCAAATGCTACTGGCGAGTATTCTCGTGGCAAATGGCAAATGGGTTAAGAAAGCAGACTATACGCCCCTCGAAAGTTAAATAATGTAAGCCAAGGACTACTTAAGTTTCATATAAGTGATGCAGATATAAGTATCTTGAAAATCCACGAGAGAACATGATTACTATGTGCCAGGAAGAAGTGCTCTTGGCCTAAGCTTAGAGATGGATGTAGAAGGTGGAGAAGAAGCAAGAAAGGGGCAGAAATATGTCAGACACAAGGAGAGAAAAGAATAAGCAAAATAATCTTTCAGCAAGCAGCTAATAAGCTAGCCTTGCTGGGCAAAGTGCTTCAACCAGTAGCAATGGGGTCATGTTGAAATTAACTTTTCAGGGCTTTTAATGCCAGGCTGATTCTAAGCAGTGTTTTCCAGCCATGAAGAACACAGAGCACTGAAATGATTTGTTGATACCACTGGTCTGAAAGCATCATACTTCCAGCAAACAATGATTCTGATACCTCATAACCGCCACAGTCCAACTCTCAGCCACAGTCCAACTCTCAACCGTCTTTCAATTACAAAACAGTTAGAAAACAATAGATTATTCCCCCACATACGCCTTTAGGTGCTGGAAGTCCACATATCAGTTTTGACACCTTCCTTTAAAGGATCTTTATCTTCAAGAAGGGAAACCAGTGCTCCAGCAGCAAGTGCTTATGGTCAAACAGCAAGCTGCTCAGTCCTCTGAGTAATCTGCAAAGGTGTGTATGTCACCTTCCTGCTCTTAGGAGCTTCTGAACTGACCATTAATGTAAATTAAGATATACCAGGAGTTATGGAGATACCAGTCCAGACTACAATGAACGCACTTGGTAACCAGTAGGGAAGAAATAATTTGGAGATAATATGGTAAGAGTAGACTTGTTAGAGAAAATGAGAACTCACATTGACTCTCAAAGATGGGTAGAATTTGGAGAGAGTGATTCTTGCAGGTGGAGGAGTAAAAGCATGGATCAAAAGGAAAAAAAGTCCAAATCATGGGATTAAGGGGACAATTATGAGTGAGACTGGCCTGACTGAACCAGAGGCCACATGTTTGAGGACGATGTGGTCAAAAGTGTGTATTTTCTGCAAGTGACCCACAGTAGATGGTATATCAGCACTGCATATGGTACATGGTATGTAATTAATACATAGACAATGCACGATCTTTAGCCAATGTGGAAAACCAGTACTACGCCACGCGTTAGAATCATTTTCTAGCTAATTATAATAGTGATGATAACAATGCTCTTTACATAGCACCTTTTCCTTTTTCCTCCAAGATAGTTAATGCATTTTTTGCTAATCTATCGCTTCCCTATTGCCCTTTACGACTGTGAAGGATCAGGACTGCACATCATGATCTTGTAACAAAGAGAAATTAACGTTGAAAATAAGCTCATGTCCTTGGCCTCTTAACTAGTAAGCCTGTCTGGCCACTCTCTTATCAATGTAAAAACCTGTGGTCTAAATAATTTTCCTTTATATCTCTAGATACAAACCAAAATAAAACATTATATCATAGTTCTTCCGTCTGCATAAAACCCAGGAGACATAGTGTTTGCCCACACCTGGGATTACTGCCAGCTTGAGTTTTAAAAGAAAGTATTTTTAGATATACATTCAATTGTTCAATAAATACATATTAAGGTAGTGAAATAATAAACTTTTTCCCCAATAATATAGTATTTGGAGGAATCGGGTTTTTTTTTTTTTTTTTGGTGCTTTTTGATTTAGTGAGTAGTTAACAATCTCTTGTGATGAACAATTTTATTACAAATTACATTACTATTGTTAAATCATGCACGTTCAAAATTGAAGAACACATGATTCCGTTCATATGAAACCTAAAAACAGGCAAAATTTAATCTGTGGTGTTAGAAATCAGTATAGTGGTCATCTCTATGGGGTCATTGCTCCAGGTACTTTAAGAAGCCTTCTAGGGTGCTGGAAATACTCTATATTTGAACTAAGTGGTGGCCACATGAGTGTGCGTATATACATAGAAATTCATCAGGCTTTACTTTTGAGATTTGGGCACTTTAATGTAACAAAAATAAATAAATAGTACATCAATTTTTAAAAAATGCAAAAAGTAGAACATAAAAGTTTTTCTCACTGCCCTCCTAATCACCACTGAATATTTTCTATGTATATACAAATATGTGTAATTTTAACAAAAAATCATAGACACATTTCCATTTCCATACATATAACTTCAGTTACATTCAATGTTATTTTTCATTAGGAATAGCCCATAAGAAATCAGTTACATATCAAAATTTCTTAACACCTTTCCTATATAGAAAAACAGGTGATCACAGTAAACTAATAACCGTCCATTCACACCCATACTCTAAAATAACAGTGAGATAATGAAATTCTGTCAACTTTTAAATCAGAAGATGTGGCCAGCCTCTCACAACATTCATTTTGTTGATGATTAGACCTGAACTGACACCCCCATTAGTTTCTAAGTCCCATGAGTCCTTGCATTCCTCACATCTACTACCTATTATATAGTAAGTGCTCAACAAATATCAACAAATATTTGTTAAAATGTGAATAATAAAACTTTCCACAACCTTACAATCTCTGGAATAATCAGGAACTTTATGATTCAAAGGGCAGTAAATAGAGAATTTTATTGTCATCATTCCACAGTATCTTGAAGCATAGATTCTGGACTGTTAAGAGGAGACAGACATGGAACCACTTTCTCTTCTTTCCAAACCCAGAATGAAAAAACTGGAAAGTACTAGATCAAATTTCCTCACCCGGTGTACCGGGTGTACCAACCCCAAGCAAAAGGGCAAAATAAAAAATAAAACAAAAAGGCGAACACACGTATACACAGAGACACCTAAATCACCACTCCTCAGGAAACTCATTCCTACCCCCATAGGAACTGGGCACCTATTCTCCAAGACAAAGCAAGTTCCAGGTAGGGAGGCAGTTTCAGAGCCCCAGCCCTCCCTTGGTCCTGTTTCGAGCACCCCTGGGTTTGTTACCTGAGGCTTCCCTGGCTCCAGAAACCGGATCTTCTGGTTGGTACGGCCAAGATTGTGGATAGTAACTGGAAGGCGGTACACCTTCCCAGCCAGCGTGTCCTGAAACTTCATCTCCGACGGAGTCACCCGCAGCTGCATTTCCTTCGCACTCTCCACATCCCGGGGGACGAGGGAGCCCCTGGGAGTGTCCATAGTCGTCCTCTAGGTAGCGGACTAACCGTAGAGGACTAGACCGATTGTGTACTAGCTTGGACGCCGTCGCCAGGCAACCGTCTGACGCTGCACGCGCCTCTAGCTTGGCTAGCCTCAGCGCAGCCCAAGCTGCATGAGTTGGCGATCCGAATAGAGAATGCAGACCTCTAGCAAAAGAACCCCGAGATCACAGGTGTCACCAGAGTAGCTGGAAAACATGCTAATGAAGCCCAAATCCCAGAGGCATCTCATTTTGCTTTGGCCTTGCAGAATTTTAACATGGCATTGGCGGGGGCATTTTCCTGGACCTCTCTCAAGACTATGCCTAAAGAGCAGTGGAAGAAATGTGCCCACGGGGTCTATTAAAGCAGCAAGAAGTAACAGTAACGGGGGAATTCAATATGCAGTCAGGGCCCCCTAAGTGTCCTGCTCAGTTGCCTTTAGGCTGGTGCTTCTGAAAATGTAATAGCGATCTTCTGGGTCTTTTGTTAAAATGCAAATTATGTTTCAATAGCTCTGGGGCAGGGCCTAAGAATCTGTATTTGTAACAGGAACCACACATTGAGTATAGAGGCTTTAGAAACTGTTAACTACTCTTGTTTCTTCATTTGTGAAACCAAGGGGCTGTTCAGAAGATTGAAATAAAACATCTTCAAATCTCGATGAGCACCTTTCCAACAGGCCCAGATTCACACTGCCCAATCCCTACTCTCTCTTCATCCTCGTCGGTCATGGTCTTGGGGGTTTTGAAACATATTAGGTGAGTGGTATTTCCTTGACTTAAATCTGCCTCTTATCATAACTATATCATGCTTCTTCTATGGACTTTTATTAATTTGGCGCTAAGCACTGCAGAAATGGCTTTTATTTTTGTTTATTTTTAAAACTACATGGAATTTTCCCCACTCCGTGTGTGTGTGTGTGTGTGTGTGTGTGTGTGTGTGTGTGCGTGCACGCGCGCGCGCACGCGCGCCCGTGGTGCTTTCATTTCCTCCCTGCCAGTACACGTGATTTTCACTCTGAGGGGGCTGGTCTTTTCATCTGCCAGCCAAAGAGCTACTCATCCTTCCAACCCTAAATATCTTTGTAAAACCTTTCCCATAACTGCCTACAAGATTCCCACAGTACCAAGGTGATAAATAAGTTATTACTTCACTTCAAAGCTGCCCTAAATATAGACACATTTGAAAAGTTCTTGGAATTGTCCTCAATGGTTGAAAATAGTAGAAGTAGTGGTGTTGGTGATTATTACTTACAAATTCTTATGAATTGATAGATTAAAAGCATTGGCATCATTTTTCAAAATTCCATATATCTTGGCTTAACAAGTGGGAACCTAGCAGCTTGATTTTTATACTAATCACTACCATGACACAACAGTACAAACTCAGTTCATATCCTTGAGCCCCTATGAAGGACAATTTTACAGTACCGAAAGGACAACACTGGCCCAAGGAACTTGGCAGGACCACTGTCCATCAAAGCCCTCATACAAAAATTGGAAACTCCAAAGATGTCTCAAAATTGTCTGCTATCCACTCTCAAGAAGGCCCAAGTCTAGACTTCTAGACTCTAAAGATATAGAGGTAT